CTTCGGGAAAGTGGAATTGTTCGTAAACCAACGTCCATACACGCCAACAGACCACGTGACATCAGAGATGCCGCCACTGATAACTTTGACATACTTGGAAGTGATTACAAGACAACGAGGATGCAATTCAGGAGAACAAATCATTTTAATCTAAAGATGGAAAAATACGTGAGCAATTTCCCTGTTATTAGCCTCATCTAATTGGCTCACCCAATAAAACACGAAAGTTACAATTGCATTTTGTCAACCAAAAATTAAAATTGCCATGCCGTAGTAACAAAGTTCATCTAGCATCGAGATTGATTACAACGGTCATCATAGAACCGCCAAGGCTGACAACGGGAATGAAATTGGCTAATTTTTAAGCAAGCAAAGTGTCGATTATAAATATCAAATGGTGGAGTAATTAGAAATGTTGTGTGAATTAATTTTAGAAGTATCCAACACTGTTGCTAGCAGGGCTCGGAAAGTGATGGTTACGGGATGTAAGAAGAGGAGCAGAATATTCAAAACAATCAGTGAGCAGCAAAATTAGATAAATTACACTAAATGAAATCGCAAACGAAAATTCCCACGGAACTTGAAATAAGTGCAATACATAAAAAAAACTTAAATCACCTGATCCATATCAATAAATTTTTTAATAATAGTACTGCGACATAACTTCACTTAACGTTATGTCCGAAAATTACAAATAACTAAACAAAATTCGTTTGGCAACCAACGATGTGTTATCGTGCGTCTAAGAGACCGTTTGAGAAAGTAAATTCGCTTTCAGGATCACCTGCATCAGATGACCCACAGAGATGATTATCGAAGCATGAGCGACTCAGTCAAACCAATGCATCAAGCAGTTGAATGTCTCGAAAATACTAGAAAATGTCTGCACTTTTAAGGCCAATGATTCTTTCCTAGTTTAGGGTGTCACGGTAACTTTGCAATAAAAGAAATGTAGTAACCAAACGCTACGTGAGTGTGTGTCCGTTCAATTGTCGAAATATCATCGCAAGCCATTTAATCGTGAAGATGAAATTTTCGCTACAAATTACATGAACGCTATTAGAAAATACATGAAAAAAAAATTATTTTAAGCAGAAGTGGACAATGACAAAACCTTTAGCATAGAACAATCAGAAGGGACCTTCACCCGCAAAATTCAGGCGCACGACAGATCACTAAAATGAAATACCACTGAAGGTTAAAGTTAGGTCAAAATATTCCAGAGATTAGATGAAAAAATTTGAAGCAGTTTGGGTGACCATACGCAGGGTTGAGCCACTGCTACAACAGTGCTAAGGGAATAAACATTAAAGGCATCTAAGCAATTCAACTATGTGTGCAACTAGAAAAATGACACCAATACACAGATTACACGAAATTCTGAAGGAGGATGAATAAGAAACACCAAATTGCTTGTCTTAACATCCACAAAAAGAGATTGCCCACACAATTACGCGATTCCGTAGGTTCACGTGAAACATTCGGATGTTTTGCGACTAACCGATAAACACAAGTCCTTCACACTCAACTCGAGGGACATCGAGCACAGCTCAACCTAGCCCCTCCAGTCAGCTTTCCTTCGAACAACACCCTCCAACACATTCGCAGGGTTCGAAAGTCTAATTCAACTGATTGTAACCTCGTCTACGTATAGGCCTTGCACTTACTAATGTATGAATGAAGGCTTTGTAATGAAGTACACAAGTGCATGGACAACAGTTATCGTCATTAACTTTTTGGACAACTGCATGCATTGTTTCCCCGTACCTCGTACCCCGTACCCACGATTTTTAACGGCATTCAATCCCATTAAATTCCTACTGTGCCCACATGTGCATATTTCTTCGCTTCCCCCAAAATGACCCAACTGACGACGATCACTTCTGATTTTATGCTGGGCATTTGACATTTCTTTGCTCTATCAGATAGGAATACGGTTTCGCGATTTCCGACCCTGCTTAAAACCACCTACTTTCATATACCTTCGGATCGGCGTTCTTGTCAATAGACTGAACAACTGACACGTAGCTGAGGGCTGCCTTGATTTTTACAATAACCACAAGGACTTCTAAGGCTTTTCCTCGAGTTATTTCAGATGGGATCCAAATGAAAGTGTCAAGACAGGTCAAAATCTCTCCCCACCTACGTATTTATCCTTGGTGCAGGGTAAGCCTTCGATAATACTAACAGTCGATGCACCTCAGTTCTCTGAGACTTACCCCTAGCCAATTGTACACTTTGTTATGCGAAGTTTCTCGACCCCGAGTTGATCATAACAGTCTTTCACAACTACTCATTGGACTATCTCGATTAAGCTATACTTTTATACCCAGAATGAGTTCTCTGCAATTAAAACTGCCGTTACTGAACGTGTAGTCTTTTGCATTCAAAACGTATGCAGACGTCTGGCTTGCTCGGGAGGTCTACAATATAAAAATTAGTGGGCCAGAGGATATGAATACGAAGTGCTGTAATTTGGATAGAAATTAAGCTCTCGCACAATTAGCTTTGGTGGCAAATTGGGAAGACCAAATAGAGGCTCGTAATCGTTGTTAATCGTAGGCCCCAAAAACAACTGCTTCGACCAAAAACCTTTGACATTGTGGCTTCACCTAATCTCAGATGGAAAGTTAAACAATGTTGTTTGGTTCTGCGTACACGGGAGTGGCTCCGTTACCCAATAGTTCCGCAGCTTCACGTGCATGCATGAGTCACAACAAAGCAGGAGGGGGCCTGTTAGCCAACACGAGCATATCCTGTTACGTCAAGCCCTTGAAACATGAAACCACTCACAAAGGCGCGAGGTTTCAGAGTCAGCATTCCAAACTGCGGGTCACACGAACAGATACGAAATAGGTGGAAAGTAATGCCAGGTGCTTTGAACCATTTTCCTATCATCAGATAAATAATTCCTATTCTAATAAAACAAGGTTCATGGACCAGACTATTCCTTGTTCAAAAAATCAGCTCATACAAAATTCCATCGAAAAACGCGGCAAAACCTTGATTCGTATGAAGCCTACGCACTCCGTTCTTTAAACACAGGTGTTCCTTGGGCAAAATAATAAAACCTTTAAGTCTACTAGGAGAATGTTGAATGACTGTGAATGGTGCTATTCAGGACGTCATTTCAACGAGCCTGACTTCCATCTGTGCTCATTATACTAAGACCTCCTTTTTGAAAGTGTTATGTCAGAACCAATTGATATTCGAAGACCTAAATATGAGTAGAACTGAGAAATCCATTCACGGCCACATCTGTGGGAATCTTCATTCGCTAAAGGTGACCACGTGTTCTAACCCGTGAATACCAGTCGACGTGTGAATCCGCTTTCCTAAATTGCAACATATCAGCTAACTTCGACTGTATTTCAAATTCACAATTTATTTAATTTAATTAAAGTCAGTAAAGGTTAACCAAATCTTAGACTATCTGAACATGGCTCAAACCAACTACCGTGGATTCCATTCTGTTCTAAAATTACTAAATTGAAGGTCAACTTAGAGCGACGAGGACTCCTTGGATATCTAGGCGAAGGATCATCCCCCTCAGAACAAATTATTATTGAACCACACGTGACACTTCAACAGCACAGGTAGCTAGTCAAAGACCCTGACTATCTAGATTAACGACCGCAGGTAGCACCTCACCTGAATGAAAACTTCAGCAACGGCACGTCCGGGGACAGTCCCATCTGTTGCGACCAGACCTCTATCTGTTGGCTGATTTTCCTCAGCATAGAGTTCCACCCAGTATCCTCCAGGAAAGGGAGAACTCATCGCAACTAGTTCCCGCTTAGAAATGATAAAACCTATGAAATTAGAAGAAACGAACGTTTGAAAACCCATAATTATATCAGAAACTGTAGCTGAGGGGAAATTACGGGGAGCGCTTATTAAAATGCATATTGCTCAGACGCGAAATTACAGGTAATTTGGGGTATGGAACAAACACACAAACTTAATCTTGCCAATAACTCGTAATGCATATACCCCTTCTCCGTATGGTGGGAATAGCAAATACTTGTTTGGGGGAAAAACAATCGGTCATGCCACTAAATCCCATATACATGAATTTTACAAATGTATATAGCAGCTTTCAGACCAGCAAAGCCAAGAGTGATTGAATAGGAACATCGGGACTTTTTACGAGAGCTATCTCAAAGGCAGCCACGACAAAACCGTACCCCGCTTGGACTAACTCGAATCAATGAAAAGTACAACTAAGCTTTAGATAAACACACTGTCTTTCAGCCAACGTTTTGTCTGCTACTGCAGAATTATCATATCTTTCATGGTACAGAGGTTTGATTAGCCCCAATGCGTCACATAACAAAATTACACAACAAACTTCCTTTTCTGTTTTCAAATTTGGAGTCAATCCACATAGGAACAAGTAACATGCTTGTCACATAGGCCAAGGCATAGCTCAATAAACACAACCCTATGACCACGTTAGGTAAACACCGCGTCAGCTGTTATCATAAACATGATCAGACCACACGGACTTCCCCCTTCACACGAGGGAGGCCAATCAACTCGCCAAAGGCTTCTGGCCTGAGTGACTAAAATCCGAGATCGCGTCGACCGGTGACCGCCGTCAACCTCACTTGATCCATTAAAAGTGAGTAGGATTTAACGTTACATGTTTTCGAAACTCGAAACAACTAAAGCGACTTGTAGATCTTTAAAAACCCGATACGGAGGCCTGACTTAATGTGAAGATTTTTTTGAACACTGCTGCTTTATTATGAATTGCAAAGCCGATAATGCAAACGAGAGTGTGCTGTGAATATCTAATAATAGAAATAAACTCGCAAAATTCTACGCGTATTCTGTCACATTATATAATTTATGTAACTGACTGAGTAGCACAAGGCAGATGCCCTTCTTTAGAAGTACTAGAGTGGCCAGTTAGGAAAATAAAATAAATCAGTACGTGCCTTAGAGGCTCATGAATGTTATCAAAATAAATACACATCTGGGTTAACAGTGTGTAGTTAGCATGACTTACCATCATCGCTGACTGTGAAAATCCCTAATCCGCTTCCACCATCAGCCCTAAAAACAATGGGAAGATCCTCGGGATCACTAGCGCTCACTCGTAACGGCTGTCCACCGCCGATTTGCATCACTTTGCTTCCGATCGGCACACCTTCAAGCAACTTGCCCTCATACAGCCCGTTCGGTGCATCGAACCTCGGAGGCCATACATTCACTCTCAAATCCACGACAGTAACCTTGAAAGGCGAGCTGGTCTGCAGCGGATCCGGTGTGCCAAGGTCGCAAACCCAAGCTGTCAGTGAGTAAACGTGACCGGGCCGAAGCCCGCCGCAGTCAGGAGCAATGCGCACTACTCCGGTGGTGAGCTCACAATCAAAACACATCTTGTCTGCTTCTCCACCAAACAGACTGTACTGGAGAACGGCGTTATGCCCGGAGTCGGCATCTCTAGCCCGAAGCGTCGTCACATAAGCACCCTCAGGGAGATCTGCGGGTACAACAAGATTATCGTAGGTCGCTATGAATTCCGGTCTATTGTCATTTGTATCAAGGACGTTGACACGGACGTAGGTGGTTGCAGTTCGAACTAAGGCCCAGTCAGGGGTCGCATTCAGTGCCAAGGCGTGAAGATGGGATGGCGACGCCAGGGGAGGAAGGTCGAGAACATCCCTGACTTTAACTGTCAATAGATAGGAATCGACCAGCTCACGGTCAAGCTTTTTTTTCAGGCTTATACGGCCGGTTCGGTGGTGTATCTGAAAAAATAAACCACAAGACATTTCAATGCATAATCTAAAAAAACAGTACTTTAAGTAGAGTAAATAACCATTGAATGAATTCACACGCAAAGTAGCTCACCCTGAACGTATCCTTGAAGTTTCTGAGGGAGAATCTTAGCTTGCTTTCAGCGTCACCATCTTCAGCAAACATTTGGCCAATAAATGAACCCTCCAAATCATTTTCGGAGACGGAGAAGGTGTGTGCATTCTTATTCTCCATAACAAATTTTGGAGGTTCATCAGGCAAATCCTCGATGTGGATTGTCAGGTTGCTGGTAACACATGGCCCGAGGGACTCTTGTAAGACGCAGACCTGTATCGATAATAAGAAGGCCGAAAAGGCCTCGCGATCAATTGGAGCTGCCACTTCAAGCGTCATTTCTTCATCAGTATCAACATCGGAGGTCGATTTGCCTCGTAAGCAGAAAGCCTGATAGGGTGGAGTCATCATAGCTCCTGTAGCCATCAGGGTCTTCTGGGCCTCGACACCGTAAACCAATCGATGAACCCTATCCGGTTTCAAAGGATCGACGAATCTTGCACCAAAGTGGAGAATCGGTGTTCCAATTGGCAGATTTTCTGGAATTTTGATTGTTGGTGGGATGCTTAGGCTCGGGGCACTTTCGACATCGAATCTTTTGAAGAAACTATCAATACTTGTAGAATTAGAAATAAGATGTTCGTAATCCGTCCGCTTCTGTTTTTGTTCTTGCACCTTTTCGTAGATATTAGAGGGTTGGCAAGACTTTGAAAAAACATGGCCATAGTCCGCCTGAACCAAATTGATTTTCAATTCAAAAGGCTGCTCAGATGTTCGGTTACCATCCGTCGCTTCTAGGTAGACACTCACAGTGGTTCCGGGAGGGCCGATATTGGAGCAAATTAGAAGCAAACGTCCTGAAACCGGATCGATTTTGAAACACGGTCTTGTTACTGTGGTAGAAGCTAGGCGAATTTGGACAGTACTACTCCCATCTCGATCTAGATCTTCAGCGAAAAAGCTCCCCAACTCCAAACCCGATGGTGCCAGGATTTGAATTTGTCCATGTGATGTAACAGCTAGCTGCGCACTACACGATTTTTCGACAAACACTGGGCTAAACTCGTTGACATCAATGATCCGAATGACGTAGATTACAATTGCACTGCGCGGAAAAGGTAGACCTGAGTCGGACACCTTTACTTTAATGTGAAATTCTGCCGGCATTGTTTCGGCATCAAGTCGTGTTTTCAATATCAATGATCCTGGTTTAGTAGTCGAAAAAATAAACGGCAATTTGTCTTCGTCGAATAGGCTAAATGATAGGCGAGTGGCTGAAAAATCCGGATCGTAGGCTTCGATTTGCAAAACCTCACTCCCAACTGGAAGAGACTCCGGGATAGATCGCTCGGCAACACTGTTAGATATTACAGGGTCGTGTTCATTATAGTCAATGATATTGATCACGAGTTTGGAATCAGCCAAGCTACTTAGAAGAATGTTATTCTGGTCAACAACTGTAAAAGGTACTTCGACAAGATTCGTGCGCAAAGTCTCCAAATCGACACTCTTTGTCACAACGACTGCTCCTGTTTTTGTAATTTCAAAAGGTAGCTCCTCATTCTTTTCCAATTGTGAAAACAAGAAACTGGAATTATGAATATAATAGTCTAGTTTTGGATTGATGATGAAGATAGTGGAGTTGACTAGAGCCACTTCGCTGACAGACACCTTAATTTCTCGAGGTAGGTGAATTCGAAACATGGGCCAAGGCAAAAGTGCCACGTCCAGAAAATCCTGGCTGGTCGATGGAATGTTTTCTACTGAAGCATATTCGGTATCGACGGCTTTCAGTGTGACTCCGATTCGCGAATTCAGTGAGAGCAAAGGGTATTGGGCCTTTAATCGGAGCAACCATTCTGGCTGAAACCCCACTCTCACAAGTTCAAAAATGGCCATGGCCTCAGTCTCGATGATAGTAAGTTGTATGTTTTGAGGATCACTGGGGGATGTCACTTTGATACTGGCATAGGCTGTTCCAGGAGCACCGGGTTTTGGGATATCGGAAAACAGAACGGAATTTATCTTCGGACCACTTGATCGAACAGCTTGTATTCTGATATTCACTTGAGCGTGAATGACGAATTCGCAAGGTACGTGACTCAGATTTCCTCGGTGTCGAGCGATCACTCTAAAAGAGTAATCTTCGAGCCCTTCATACATTGATAAGTATGTGGTCTGTTCTATATGTGATGATTTTCCACGTTTTATTGCTAGGCTTTTCGTCGGGAATACATCACCAGAACGCGCATCGATCCGAAATGGAACAATGGTTCGCTCCGGTTGAAGAACAAAATAGATCTGTCCACTGATCCCCGTATCTGCGTCAGTAGCAGAAACCGTCCCAATTCTAGTGAACAATGTTGCATTTTCGAATACAGTCCAGTGAAATGTGTCTTGAGAGAAAAATGGACAATTGTCATTGCGGTCAATTACACGAATTACAATGTGAGTCTGGTTGGAAAGCTTTATTGGGGGTCTGTCACCAATTTTTTGAGACTGAAACACAGCTTGAACATCAAAAGCGTAGATCGATCGTTTCTTGGTATTGAACTCTGCATTGTTATTTGTGCGAAGTCGAAGGAAATAAAATCCACCAAGTTTGACCGTTTCTGTAGAAAAAGTGCTCCTCACCTCCGGACTTCCAATGATTGAGAAAACGACAGCTCCAGAGGGTTGGCCATTAAAAGGTTCAGGAACACCTAGACGAGGTTCGTTCGTCAAAACATAGTAATTAGGACCAATGTCCGGCGAGATGAATGCCGTATATGTTGTCAGCGGAAATGAAAATGGTACAGAAGTCTTTAAAGAAAGTCCTTTTAAGGTTGGGGACGATAAAGTCCGAGAGCTTGAGATCCCAAAAGGAAAGGAGTGAAGGACAATAAACCATAATTGGAGAAATTTGTGTAAACAGTCGTGAGGCATTATCTGACGACAATGACTTTATGGTGATCACGTTAAAAACGGTACAGTTAAACATTCAAAAGTGTTTAATATCTGATTAACAATCATCAATAATCACATTTCCCTAGTTGGGAGAAGGTGCGAAGCAAACAAAATAGCGGGGAATGTGCGTGACCTTCAAAGCCGCTAACTTGATTCGGTAATCAGATTCACCAATTATAACGCAGCTCTTCTCTAATTCGTAAAGTTCTAGTCAAAATCATCATCATCATCAGAAGTGCAACTAAATCGAATTTTTAATAGAAATTAAAGGTGCAATTAAAGTTAGTTTTTGGTGAAATATTTTATGCAGAATTTTATTTTAAATTTATTTTTTATTTAACCAACCTTGTTTACACTTAATTAGTTTTTTGTTAAAAAGGCCAGAGGTACAAAGGCCTTTAAAATATCAAACTGTAAAAGCCAATATACCTATTATTATTATTACCTTTATTATTGTAACTTTGACTGTGTTAAAAACACTTAAAATTCATATCCTTAATTTTGTAAGCAAAAGAGATTACTGAAAATACCTGTTTTGCGCTTCTCCCACTTCATAATTATTTCTAATAATTATTTAGTAGTTTCTAACCAACTCTTTATTGCTAAATACTCTTATAAAGTTAAAAGTATATAACTTATACACATTATGAGTATAGAAATGCCTCTAATGAAAATTTTATTTTTTGATTAATTGCAGTATGGTAATATTTTGCAGCCCTAATCAATTTTGGGACCCTGTGATTAGAATCTACCACCAGAGCTTTATCCAATTGTCAGAAAAGATGTAAAGATACCCGCTGTATGAAATATTAGCTTAACTGTTTATAAACTTGAAAAAACCAATTAAAATATTTGGGCTGCTTTTGGTAGTCTCTGAAGTCAAAGAAGCTAAAAAAAGTGCATCTATGAACGCAAATGTACAAATAAATTTGACTTTTGTAAACAATAGTAATTCAAGACATTATGCCGCCGCATAATGCATCAAAACTAGATTTAAGTGACGAGCAAAAACTAATAAGCCGATGTGTATATCGGAAATTACTAGACATCTCAACCCCCTCTTCAGGAACTCGAATTGTTCTGTAATAAAGCTCCGTTGCGTTTTTTCTCTAGACTTCTTAACTGTTTACTTTCAATTCCAACCTTTGGGACATCTTGAATGATCTAACGCTTTTAAACTTGGATGCTTTTTGTGGTACAAGTATTTAAGTAAATGCGATTTTGCACTGAATCACTAATTTGTCCCTACTCCGGAGTATAGTTCGATTTTTACCCTAAAAAAATATTGATCAAATAGGCAAGACGAAAATTTCATTTCTCACTTTAGTTACTTAAGTGCAGCTAGCCTGTTTTGATGCTTATGTATAATAAGTGAACTTATAACGGTTTGATTGTACCTCTACATGCAACACTTCAATGCACCACAAACTTTTAAACATATTGCTTACCATTACCGAAAACTTACAAATATATTATTAAAAGATCATTTTAATCACTCCAATCTAAAGTGTTTCCTCAATTATTTTAGGAGGGGCATTTACGGCTGAAACAAAACGGTCTTGCCAAATGCACTGTTCTTTTTTGGAATCGAATTTTAGGTTGTTGTCACCACTTTCGTGGAACCCAACTACATTTATAATTGTCAATTTTTATTTTCTAATTTTAAATTTCCACACACCAATGCACTTTGGGCATTTTGGGATAAATAAAACATAACACTGGCAGGCTTTTTATTAGGAGGTATTTCTCTAGTTCAATGAAACAGAATTTACGCTAAAGACAAAGAGATTATCAAACATCGTGTTTCGCACTGTTTTGAGACACCTGGCTATTTACCTGAAAGTCTTCTTTTTAAATATGCTTTTTGCCTTTGCCTATAATTACAGGTGATTCCGTGCAAAAGAGTTGCCATCTCCTTTTTGACCACAAAATGTAATCATCGCTAAGAACCAGATATCTTCTAATTTTAAATAAATTTCAATTTGTTTAATATTCGTATGATCTGAACCGATGGTCTACGTAGCTTATACAGAGGTAACTTCACACAGCGAGACTTGCTCTGATTATGGCTACTGCTACGCATTAGTCAAATGCCACTAATGACGAAAAATAAGACCCAAAATAGCGATAATTTAATCAAATCACTCGGGGTCTACAATGATGAATTTTTACTCCAGGTCCATTATGAAGTCACTACATTTCCAAAATAAGAAATACATAATTCTCAAATCTTCATTAATGAGTTTTAAATAAAACTTATTTAAAAAATGTTCATACATTCTTACAGGTCTCACGCCAAGTCACGACATAAAGGGTCAACTTGAAACTTTGCTGAAGGTATTTGTGTTATCCTGCACAATAAGCATAATTTAACATTGCGTACCAATAATAGGTACATTTAGGATACAAAATCAGTGATTTCATTGCTTATGGATCTCTATTGGCCGATTTGTCAAATTCCGGATAGTGTTTTAACGGTAAAACAGACAGATAGGAGTGACATGGTAGTGTTTGGAAAACCTTTAATAGTAAAGAAATCTTTGACTTCACTAAGCTTTTGTTGCATTTACTCAGCAACTACCCGATTCAGAAAGAATTTTGTTGTCATTTGTTTCAAGCTACTGTTTGATTTTTAATCAATTCACTTAACCTTATACCCTTGGCGTTTTGGTGGAAGTAAAGGCCAAACGTAAAGCTATTTACCCTTGTGGTCCTTGTTAAAATGCCTCAGCAGCATGTGAATTTCTGAGTCTTAATCAATTTAGTGACGAAAATTCACTGAAGTCAACCGATACACCCGGGATTACGCGCTATTGAAAAGACCCGTTTCGACAGTGTACCCCAGGACCAACGCTACCTGAAAAAATAAATCAGAAGCCTCCGACTTGGGCAAGCCTTGTCCTCCAAGTGCAGAGGCAACGAAATGATCCCTGGGCGAAGAAATCCTGGGTTAGTGTAGACCTGTCGGTTATTGCGCAACCAGCCAAATAGATTCAAATCGGTGTAAAAATTTAAGCCCTTTTGCCCTCCCCACCCCCCAAATTCATCATATTCTCTTTTAGTAAAACTCATGAAACTCGGAAGAAATGATCATGAATTGACGCAGTCTAATTTATTCAAGAATCCTTTGGGCATAGGGATACATAGAGCGAACCCCAGCACAATCAACGTTTATGCTCTCATTCACTTTGATCTTCGAATAAACCTCACAAAGTACCTCTAAAGGTGCAGCAAAGAGTTCTTATTCAAGGTTTTCAGCCATGAGGATGCTTTAGAGGAATGTGAGGATGTAGTGTTACCATTCTTTTGGAATTTTGTTTTTTATACACCACAGTGGACAACAGACGATGTCAAGACAATTGGGAGCTAAAGTAAAATTTCATTAATGGCTGATGGTTCGGAGTAATTGAAACCGAATTTATCTTCAGTAAAATACCTATGATTTCAGTGAAGTGCACCTTAGTTAAATCTTACGAGCTTTGGGCCTTTAGGGCAAAGGTTTTTACACAGTCACTCATGACTTCAATCAAGCCTGCTAAAACGTGGTGCATTTAGGTACTCTCTAGTTAACTCTAGACGTGGCGAATTTAAGTAGGCCACTAGCCAACTTATGTGGGAAATTCGCACGGGAGTTCAATTCACTTAAGGCGTCAGAAACGGTAGTTGATAGTTAAAATTTCGAAAACGATCTTAGTTCAATAAGCAAGCACAATGTTGAATTTAATGAGCAAATCATACAATTGGTTAAAACATTAGCAACAAACTTAGTAGGACATCTAGTCTGTTATTCACAAGCACTTTTGATCAAATCGGTGATGTTAAGTTGGTTCGAGGATCAGACAGTCCCGTTCGCTTTGACTCAACATGCTTTCATGATTTTCCACACATAATTGCATTACTGCCTTTAGGATTGTGCTTATTTGCTCATGAATTTCGGTTTCAACGGCACGTTATTGGGAAGTAATACATATGTCTATCTTTGACTCAGCAATCGCAGCCAAATGACTCTTATTACTTATTCAAAATATAAGTAGTCATTTTATCCCAATCACCTTCCTATGGATTGCAATGATGTACAAAGCCACAAGACTGCTTTCTTGTTTTGTAATCACTCGGTAATAATGCTTGTGTAAAGAGCCAAACGTTATCTAAGGTTTATTACCCACAGGCACTCAGCACTTGTCCTTCCACCATTCGTGACATTTCGAATTCATGTTACTTCACACTGGCAGAACATAATGGCATTAAAGTTGTATGATTATCGGCAGTGTGAAGTCTGTTCTGGTCGACATACAATAGCACAACTTGTTTTCTTTAACAAAAATTGAAAATGACACGATCAAACATTGGAATGGCACTGCCACAGTTAAATCTAAATGATTGTGTGGTGGTTTTCAGTGTTTTGATGATTGAGAAAGTTTGTTTACAGAATAGTAGGATAGGCGTCGCTGAATTGCCACTTATACATTTGGTGAGAGAACAAAATTAAAGGAGTTTCCAGAGGTGGCTTAGGTGCTCTCGACGTTATCTATAAAGGTGAGTTGAAAACTACTGGAAATGCTAGCCCAAATAAAGAAATGGAGCCCCACGGTATGCCACTAACAAATTTGCACAAATAACATAATTCGACAACTTGGTATCTCACAATTTACCTGAACCACATGACTTTAAATGGATCCTCAGTCCACAAAAAAATAAAACCGAATTTTGACGTGCATCGAATTTTGAGTTTAAATTGATTACAAATCAAGCATAGTAAAGGCAAATAGAAGATTTGA